TCTGTTGTGTAGTGATGTGTCTCAGGATGTGTCTGAGAGCAGATGGATGAGAAACCATCTGCTACAAATGGACACACACACACTCTAATGTTAATGAGCACGTACCGTAGACTTGCACCATTTATATATGAAGCTAAATAAAATGACTCCAGATTTCAGTAGCTAAAGCGACGCTAAATGTAATGACTCAAACCTCAAAACAAAACTCTACTATTCAGTTTATGAATCATGTAATTTTCTTAAAATCTTACCTGGAATTTCATACCCTGTGATACTCTCATACATTCAGAGAATAGAAGTAGAATTTTTTTTCTTACATAGTGGCATATTTATGTTTTTGCTTATGAAACGCACACAGAAAGTGTGCGTTTATTTATTAGCTGTTCATCAACTCACAATCCCTAAGTGCTTGGAAACCCTGTACTATACTTATTGTTACAAGTAGCTTTCATAAAATTTAGCATTAGAATATCTTTCCCAGATTTAACTTGAGAACTCAAATATCCAGGTTGTTACTTAATACAGCTTTGCATTTCACATTGACAAGACTTAAAATTGTATGGCAGCTCAAAAGTTGAAATAACATTACTGAAATTTGAAAACTAATACTACAAGTTTAAATAATATTTTTAGAGTTTAGAATCGTAGTCAAAAAATGTAAGAAATTGTTTTATTAGTAAAATATTAACCTTTACAGATTAAAAAAAAAAGTTTTGTACATTTGGATAGATGAAGTATACAATATGGATGTAGTGACGACATCTAAAACTATTACGTATTTCCATACGGCTAAAGAAACATATTTATGGATCTGCAGAATAATAGTCAAAAAAATAAAAGAAATTATGAAAAAAAAAAATCTGAAAAGTTGTATTAGTATGGCATTAGTATGTAATATTTACAAGTACAAAACATACATTTTTGTAGGTTTGAATAGATGCTGAAACATACAATATGGACGTACTGACAACTTTATTACATATTTACGCATTTATTTATGGATCTGTAGAACAATAGTCAAAAAGTAAGAGTAAATATGATAAGCTTTGTGATGAAATAACATTATTATTTGGGTAACACTTTACAATAAGGTTCATTAGTTAACATTAGTTAAATAATTTAGTTAACATGGTCTAAGAATGAACAATACATCTACAGCATTTAATAATATTAATTTCAACATTTACTAATGCATTATTAAAATCAAAAGTTGTGCTTGTTAACGCACTGTGAATTAACATGAACTATAACAATAAATACTGTAATAAATGTACTGTTCATGGCTTGTTCATGTTAGTTAATACATTAACTAATGGAACCTTATTGTAAAGTGTTACCATTATTTGTCCCTAAAACTCATGTGAAGCATTCAAGGAGAAGGTTTTGAAGCATAAGTTCAGTCAAATGTGTCCGACTGGTGGTGTACGTCTCACTTCAAGTGCTCTTCCCTCTTTAGTGTCGATGTTGATGAATTTTGCAACATCAACGCACTTATTGAGCTGAATAATGACACCGTAGTCTTATGCAGAACTTGGATTTGTCTCATATTTGAAGAAGTTTGCTTCATTGATTGTTATTTTCCCGTTTATTGCTGTGAGGCTTTGACACAATCTGTATCGGATGAAGTGCTATAGAAACTGGACTAGTGAGCAGGCCGCGCTGGCGCTCAGCATACAGCAGGATTCGTCCTGTAGTCCCAACAGTGAGCGAACAGGATCCTCCGTCTCATCTCTCCGCTCCTCTGTGAGTGGACGTCTGGCCGTTTGCCTGCTCACTTTTCACGTTCTCTTCCTCCGCTGTTGTGTCCTGCATTTCTCCTCCTCTTCCATCTCTGTTTCTCTCTCTCTCTCTTTCTCTGGGAGTGATTAATGGTGCAGCATGTTTCTGCTTTCGCCCTGCAGCATCTGCAGTGCAGCACCTCTGACAGTCTCTCTCTGCTCGTTTCTGTCTGTCTCTCAGGTGATGTCTGTGTCTCGGTCAGGTTCTGCGGCTCTGTACGGATCAAGAACTTCGTCACACACTGTCACGAGTGTGTTTGTTATTGAGGTAGGCTTGGTGGACCAAATGGCATCAGACGGTCTTTTTTGGAGGATTTGGGATGGGACTAGTGTCATCCTTCTGGTTTTATTGTGAACAATTCTTCTGTGTTTGTTATTCCAAAGAAAACCTATGAATAAAACTGAAGGTGCTTTAATGGCACTCACTGGAATTTTCACTTTGAAAGTGGCGCAAAAACAGCAAGATTTGATGGGACATCAGTTTATAATAATAATCATAATAATACTACTTTATTTTTGTATAGTGTATTTTAGGACCTCATGGTTGCTTTACAAATACATTGCATATAATGCATAAAACAAATATATAATAATAAAAAAAACGGAAACAAAACAAAGTGGGAAATGCGGCAGAGTTGAAAAAAAAGTTGAAAAACAGAGTGTGTAAATGCGTTTATGAATTTATTTCAGCTTCCAGCCATTTTTTTAATGATAAAATGTTTACCTTGCATTAATTAATTTGCTATGATTTTTCAGAAATCATTCTAATATGGTGATTTGCTGCTCAAGAAACATTTCTTAATTTATCAATGTTGAAAACAGTTGTACTGCTTTATATTTTTGTGTAAACTGTGATACATTTTATTTTTCAGGATTCTTTGGTAAATAGAAAGTTCAAAAGAACAACATTTACTTAAGAGAAATCTTTTGTAACATTATACTGTAAATGTTTTTGCTGTCACTTTAGATCAATTTAATACATCATTGATGAACATAAGTATTAATTTCTTAAAAAAAAGTAATTATAATCATACAAAAGTAATCTAACCCCAAACTTTTGAACAGCAGTATATTTGAATATTCCAATAGTTTACATCAACGAGAGATTTTCGATTTTAATCTGACTTGTTTTTAAATATAAAGCTAATAAATACCAAAAGCTGCACACATGAAACTGGAATAATCTAGAAAATAATGTCTGAATGTAGTCTGTGTTAAATTTGAGTGAATTGCTTTGAGTTTACAGTCAGATGTTTTGGTGTTAGTTTAGTCTGGTAATGTCTCTGGAAGGTGTGTGAACGGTCCTGCAGTCATGTGATCATACGGGGGCGAGATGCTGCAGAAAATGTGCGGCTCAAATGAAGTGTAGCACATCAGAGACACAGACAAACCTGCTGCTGAACAGACACACACACACACACACACACACACACACACAGTGCTGCAGTGATGTAATTTGTAGTGAAATCACATTAGCGTGTGTGTGATGGGCGCCGTACACAGAACATCTGTTACTGACACACAGCATTCGATTGATGCCTCTGCTTATGTTTGAGTGCATGTAAACAGGTAACAGTCTTTACAGTGAAAATATGCACATGAACACAGTACTGTATGTAAAACCCTAGCATTTACTGTTATTCCTGCTTCATTTCACACTTTCTGTCCAGTGTTTTTGTCTTTTTTTGAATGTTAAAATACTGTAATAATGTGCAGAGTGTATAGAAGCTATACGTTTATGATCTAATTTCATTTCGGAGACAGTATTACACTTTTACTGCATTATAGACAATTTACAAGCAGAGAAATAGATTAGCAGTGTTTGCTCGACTGTTTTGTCTTTAAGTCTTGAATCAGATGTTCGCGTGCATGTTTTTTATCGACTGCAGTCAGGAATGAATAAATAAGGGCACTTACTAGACGTCAGAAGTCTATTGATTTCAGTGATGCATCAGGTATGTTTTTGAAGTCTCTTCTGCTCACCAAGGCTGCAGTTATTTAATTAAAAGTACAATAAAAATAGTAAAATTGCGAAATATTATTACAATTTAAAATAGCTGTTTTCTATTTGAATATATTATAAAATGTAATTTATTCCTGTGATCAAAGCTGAATTTTCAGCATCATTACTCCAGTCTTCAGTGTCACATGATCCTTCAGAAATCAGTATAATATGCTGATTTGCTGCTCAAGAAACATTTCTGATTATCATCAATGTTGAAAATAGTTGTGCTGCTTCATATTTTTTGGAAGCTGAGATGCAATGTATTTTTCAGGATTCTTTGATGAATATAAAGTTCAAACAGCATTTATTTTAAATTTAAATGTCTTTACTGTCGGTGGTTTGACCAGTTAAAATGTGTCCTTGATGAATAAAAATATTAATTTCTTTAAAAGAAAAAAAAAACTTTTAACACCATCTTTGCAGTGAAATAAAGACCAATCAGAATTCAGTATTATAATGATGTCATTGCAGCTTAAATTTAAATGCAGAATGTTCGAACTTGTTTTTAAGTATAAAACGTGTAAATAGCAAAAATTGCGCACCTAAAGCTGGAAAATAGCTACAAAATAATGTTGTGCAGAAAATGCATGTAAAGCTTTCAAATGAGACACATTTGGTTACAAAAATAATCCCAGAAGTGATAAACCTTCATGTGCTTATAAGGGACAAATGATACATAGATATATTTAATGTATATTTTATGTAATCGCTGTATCATACTCTTTTTATGCTTGCACTATGAAACAAAAAAAATGGGTGAATGACTCACTTCTGCTCATGCCATCCCATTTTTGTAGGTGTTTTGCATCAACTCATCAGCTAAATGAATGAATGTCATGTTAAGGGTGTGCAGTGACTATAATTAGCTTTATATAAAGCAGCAGAAGTCTGTAGCATGTCCTCATTCGTGTGTGTGTGTGTCCTTGAGTGTGTTTTCAGGGGTCTTTGTGAGAGTTGGGCTCTGAAGGGGGTCGTAGGCAATTAAAGCACACATGCAGCGCTGCTATACCATCTCACACACACACACACACACACGCAGTCGCGCATCCCTCCTTTGCTCTTATGCACCTCCCACCTCAGCATGTGAATGTTTAAGTGATCTTTATTGTGTGCAGAGTAAACAGAGAGAGCGAGGGAAGCCGTGTTGAGCTGCGTTGTGCTGACAGCAGGACGAGAGACAGACAGATAGAGAGAGAGAGAGAGAAACGGCAGTGTGTGGTTTAATGTGGAAATCATCCTCTCTGAGCTCCATGGCAAACTCTGCATGCGTGCTGCTGTCCGGCTCCGGGATGCTGCCTCATTCGCTGCACGCGCCGCCTGCCTTCCTCTACTTGTCCGAGGTAAGGATCGTCCCGCTTTTATCCGCTCTGAATGAACGTGCTTTTCTGACCTCTGACCTCTTCTCCGTTTGGGGTCAGTGCTCTGTTTATAGTCCAATTTTTCCACGCTTTTCTCCTCTGTTCGCTCCATTGTTTAGGCTTATTCACTTACTTTCATGGTCATTTTATAGGTAACATTAACTAGTTGTTTGTGTCTAGTTTTGTAGTTGGGGAATTTAATGTGGAAATGTCACTTTGTGATCACAAAACGGAAGTCTGTCGCTCATTTTAGGTCACAATTAGCAAACTTATGCAGATTTGTATGCAATATTATGCAGATGCACTCATGAATTATACAGGATTCCTGTGACTTTTCCCTGTTTTTAATTATCTTGAATTGCTTTGTAGAATAAGACATCAGATGCTTCACTGGTTTGTAAAGTCAGCAGGGTTTTGTTTTTGAAGTTTTTATTGAAGATGCATCATATGTAAGTGACTGTATAAATATTGGCATATACCTGCCTTTTTAAAATGATTGATAAATCTATCAGTGTTTTCCCTGATCGAAATTGGTCTGAATTGACCGATATAGGAGCTACTGATTTTTTAATTCAATAATTAAATTAATTTTCTATAGCATCTTATATGCTGTATATTATACTGTTCAAACATCTGATTTTATTTTCAAACACTTATTATTATGAATTGATCGTGAGTATCTAGTATCGTAGTTTGTTGTTTGCCATTAGATTGTGTGCACTTTGGATACAGATGTGCACATGTCAGAAAGAAAGGTGTTTTCCTCATTTTAGCTCATAATCACCGATATTAGCATATGCAGATACACTCATGAATTATTCAGGAGCTAAATGTTCTTCATTTACTCAAATTACTTTGTTGAATTAGTCATTAGATTGTGAATTTGTTTAAGTGCACAGGGGTTTGCTTTGAAAAAAAATTATTTTTATTAGCAGTGCTTGATTTATCGGTTTGTACATATGCATATCAACCAATATAAGCGTTGCAATTTCAATAAATGCTCGATATTGATCTGAATGTGCTTATGTATTATATATATATATATATATATATATATATAATGGATAATCAATATATTTGTTTTTTTATTTATTTAATAATGAAATATAAAAATATTTTTTGTTTTTTAAAATATTTTATTAGCATTGCCTGATTTATTTATTTATTTACTTAAGTCTTTTTCTGTGCTAGGATTTATAAGTACTAAAGTAATTCATCTTTTCTGTTGTACATGATAATGTTTTGATGTTTGAATTTTATATGTAAAATTGTAGATTAGTGCTTCAGTATGAACAGTTTTTTTAAACATCATGCAAAACAGTATAGATTTATATCATATTGTTTACGAGTCATACAAATAATTCTCATTATTGGCCAACAATTTAAAAAATTTTGAAATATTTAAAATATGCATTCATTGTTTTTAAAATGTTTGTTTTATTTTTATTAGCAATGCATGATATATCGGTTTCTACATATCAGTATCAAACAATATAACGGTCTCAATTTTAAAGCAGTGATATTGGTATGAATTTGTTGTTGTTTTAAATAGATAATGGCATGTTTTTTTTTTCTTTCATTTAAAAATACATTTGAAATAATATATACAGTGGGTACGGAAAGTATTCAGACCCCCTTCAATTTTTCACTCTTTGTTATATTGCAGCCATTT